ATTTGTTTACATTCGATACGCCAGAGCAGTTATGAATGTACGAGATTCATGGAAGATTGTAGTTTATAACAGTAAATTCGACCTTGTCTACCATAAGGTTCATGGTGGCCGAGTGGTTAAGGCATGTCAGCGTATATGACAGTTCCGTATAGGATGCAGGTTTGAATCCTGTCAAAGAACGAATATTTTCTATGAAAATTTCTCGGACATTCAGGCCGGTAAATGTTATTTAATACTGTTTATCATAAACAGAGCATTTGCTTAAATACTTGTATCTATAAAATAACAACGTTAAACATAAAAATGTCTTTAATAAATATATATATATATATATATACAATAAAGGGTAAATTTTAAATTCATTTTTTCGTTTCATCTTTGAAAGTAATGTCGGAGGATCCAGAGAAGAAGTAAAATTCTCTGGTGAAATATATTATTACTATGGAGCCTTAAAGTTGTCTGTTTTTCTTTTAAATTAAATTAATCGCTCTGACTTAACATTGAGCTCTCAGGATTTAATCCTCCTTTGGATTATCCATACGGATTACCAAGATTTTCGTTACTTATATATATATATATATACACACATACACACACACACACACACACACACACATATATATATATATATATATATATATATATATATATATATCTGTTTCTTTCTTTCTCTCTCTACCCCCGTTTTCTCGTATCTATCTATCTATCTATCTATGTATCTATCTATCTGTTTGTTTCTCTCTATATATATATCTATCTCCCTTTCCTCGTATGTATGTATGTGTGTAGACATGTTTCGTTGAATAATTTAGACATGTTCTCTCTACTTATTTTCAATTGGATCCTTTCTTTTTCACGGATAAGATTTTTGGTGTCATCATTGAAGGATGAGTGAAAAAAAAACTTATCCCTGACTATGAAAGGATCCAATTGAAAACAAGTAGAGATAATATGTCTAAATTATTCAACCAAAATATGTCTTAATGAAAATATACTGCAAAATATATATATGTTATATACATTTGGTTGGATTGATGTGAGTTTGTGACCCTGGGTTTCACGCTTTTGCGATCGTCAGACAAACAAGTACCGCGCATATAATATATAAATAATTATATATATATATATATATATATATATATATTTATTTATATTTATAAACACACATTTTTCACATATGTTATATATATATATATATATATATATATATATATATATATATATAAATATATATATATATATATAATATATATATATATATATATATCTGTTTTCAATTGATCCTTATATCTTATATAAATAATATAAAATATACGCATTTATATATATATAGTTCATTGACACAATAATTAAGAAATATTTACATAACAATACATGTTTTAACAGATGCTTGATACATAGCTTATTCACTGCCACCCCAAGAACAGATAACTAATCAACGCAAAAAGAAAGTCACGTAAAGGCACTAGAAAATTTAGCTAAAATAGATTTCCATGACACTAGCAGACAAAGGAGATGGCAATGTTATAATGAATGAAAATACCTACAACCTAAAAATTAAACTCTTATTCCGTGATAGAAAATTTTTCCTGAAAAATCGTTGAACCTAAAATAATTTTCGAGACACTAAAATTCAACAAATTTATTAGAAAGTAAAGCTTATTAATAATGAGCAAAATGCATGGACGAGAATGTCACTTGAAGTGAATAAAAAAGGCGAAATTACACTTCATGAGCCAAGGCAGGACAAGGCTTATTGCTACGTCACAAGCCTATCGCTACATTATCACTATTTCCATGCAAACCGTTTTGATGAGCTATATTCCCTAGAATCACCAGATCAGACATTTATAACTAAGGATCTTCATGGTACGTACACAGGTTTGACTCAGCCTAGTCGTTTTCATATGCCATTGTTAATAATATTCGTACTCCATTCTTAAAGCATCTTGACAAGAATTGCTACTCTATGGAACAGACTCTTTGGATGATGTTTCCCCGACCACAACAACGTTACCCTCTTCAAGTCTACGGTCACCCATTATCTCTTCTACACATTCTTATAATGTGCACTTCTTACCTACTCCAAACAGCAACTTCATTCGGTGTCTCTTAGGCCTTGTATTGCGTAAACAATATTAAAAAAAATAATACTTCGATAATACTTCGATCTTACAGACCTGAGGAAAGTATGGCTGTTGCGTTGGACGGGAAGCTGTCTGCTCTAAATTCATACTGTTATGTTCTATATCTATGATAATCCGCCAGGATACAAATCCAAGTTTATGGAGAGTTACGGTTAGCGGTTCGGATTGACTAATCGGAGTGCCGAATTCGAATTCCAGTGAAATCCATTACGTGCTTTGGGAACGGTATGAATCCTATTCTTCTCCCCCCAGTTATGGGTAAATAGTAGGACAGATCGGGTTCTATAGCCTTGGATGGCAACTGATCTACCGCAGAAATAAATGGCAACCTACTGTGGGAAAAATCTGCCTCGTCAGTCATGTATCGAAAGATACATGATCGCCTAAGCGTGTATCGCGCATGGCACATAATTGACTAAGTGAAAAGTCAGGTAATCTGAAACGCACTAGACAATAGCATTGGAAGAGAAAGACAACGACCTGCAATATTTAAATATAGTTAATATCCAGATAGAGAAAGAGAAAAAGAAATGCTTGCAGACAATGTGTATCCGCGTACTTAGCTTACGTGGAAAAGTGTCTGTATATTATTTTTTTAAATAGTCCTTGTTGAGCCCCTGCGAAATTACTAGCCTTTCACTTTGTTGTCTGAGTAACAAGTTGAAAGAAAAAAGAGGGCTCTATGAATTTGAATCTTATATAGTCAGAGTCGTGTGACTCTTACAAAGGAAAGTCCAATCACTACCCATGAGATGAATGGTTTTTCTTTAGCCATTCAGCCAAATCGTTTTATTATGTGCTTAGTTAATTTTATTTTAGGACTAATTAATCTAATATTAAACGACTTAAACCGATATATATATATATATATATATATATATATATATATCAGTTAATAATTTTCATTTGATATATTATGTATATGTGATAAAAAAGTAGTAAATATCTAAGATAAAATAATATGCATACTGATAACAAAACTTTGTACATTATGCAATATATTGTGTACGAAAGGCAATGTCAGTATACATTTATGAGAATATATAATGTTCACACATACAGACGAATATAATAAATGTCATACAATAAATGTATACACAGTACAATATAATAAATACACATAAACATCATCATTTATATCCTGCGATTCTTCAGCAGATCGCGGTCAGTGATCTCCACAAGTTCCTAGTTCTTCTAGTTCTAAGCAATATTTGAATCATTACCGTCTGTCTTTGAATAGCTTTGCCATCCATTTAGACAGTTGATAATTTGTTTTTCTTTTACCTTACATCTTCTTCACTCAGTAGGTTTTCCAAGCCGTCTTGTTCGATAAGAAATTGTGTTCTGTCAACGTATTCCCAACTAATCTCATGACATACAAGATACAATTTAAAAGATTTTAGATTTCAACAAAAGCGAAATAAAGTAAAAGTACTGAACAATCTCACAATGTTCAAAATTTCTTTTCTAGAAGTGTGATACTGTTTATATATAAATGTGATAATATATATATATATATATGTGTGTGTGTGTGTGTTTGTATTTGTGCATTTAGGCAGAAAATTCTCTTTTAGGCATGTCTGATTAAACAAATTTCAAACATTATGTCTGCTTAATTTTAGCATAATCCATTCTTATTCACGGATATTTTTTCCGTGTATTGCAATCAAATCATGCAAGAAATGCACTGTAGCACTGAAAATTACTTTTATTTCCTAAGTAATTTCCATTATATCGGAGATTTTATATATATATATATATATATATATATACTGGGTTGTATATTAATATCCTTTCGCTTTTATTATTATTTCATTTAAATTTTTTTTTATATATATATATATATATATATATATATATATATATATACAAATAATTCATCGAGTCTAGAAGAAACCTCAGCAGAATGCAGAAAGCACTGGACGGCCGTTTCTTCCTATATTTGGGACTAATCAGCCGGGCGCATCCACGAGCGAGAACTGAAACCCGGACAGTTACGTTATCAGGCAAACGTCATACCAACTGTACCAAGTAACAGTGACGAAGAGTTAGTGAATTAGACACGATATAGCGCCGCTTGATCACATATTCCGTGGTGGAACACATCCAAGTTTTCTTTACTCATAGTAATGTGCTCCCCCGTTCTATGACTGCTATCCGCAAGCCGGTCCATCCAGATCATTAGAAGCCGGTTCAAACAAGAATATACAAGTGATAGAAATGATATATATATAATTGTCTATTTGGGCAGCAAACTCTCTTTTAGACACTTTTCATTAAAGACAAATGACAAAGTACGACGTTTAAAGTTTTTTTCTTCTTCTTGTTTTCCTATAAGTTTTTCTTTTCTGGACATAATGCTTTTTTCTGGAGATATCGTTTCTTTTCTTTTTCATTATCAATGCTTCCATTATTTTTACTATTTTTACATGTGAATGAGACTATAATATTTGCATTTTCTTCGAGTATGTTACGGATGGAGTTTGTGTGATACTATTTGTCATTGTCGCGGTAAAACGGAAGACAATTTTGCTAAAACATAAGAAAAGGTTATGTGTTGAGAGACATTGAAACGAGAAAGGTTAATACCAAAAACCCGGGGGAAGAACTGAGAACAGTCTGAACAATGGAAGAGTGGCCCAGACTTAAGGGGCAACTGTTGACTGAAAAACAGCTGCAAATGCAAGCTGTAAAGCGAAAACTTCATTTTCGTAAACAATGAATTTTCAGTGGATTTTCCTGTTTGCAAGTTGAATCGACACAGGGGACAGGTGGATAAACCACCCAAGCTCACTGAGATGGTTTAGTAAGAGATAATGATATGAGAGTTTGGGAGAAGGGCATTCCTTAGAATTATGTGAATAAATACGAATGTGCCAATACGCCAGAAGAGAAACGAGTCGGAGCAGAAGAGAGACAGAGACAGAAGACAGAAGAGAGACAGAGACAGAAGATAGAAGAGAGACAGAGACAGAACATAGAAGAGAGACAGAGACAGAAGACAGAAGAGAGACAGAGACAGAAGACAGATGACAGAAGAGAGACAGAAGATAGAAGAAAGACAGAGACAGAAGACAGAAGAGAGACAGAGACAGAAGACAGAAGATAGAAGAGAGACAGAAGACAGAAGAGAGACAGAGGCAGAAGATAGAGGATAGAAGAGAGACAGAGACAGAAGACAGAAGATAGAAGAGAGACAGAGGCAGAAAACAGAAGAGAGACAGAGACAGAAGACAGAAGAGAGACAGAGACAGAAGAGAGACAGAGACAGAAAACAGAAGAGAGACAGAGACAGAAGATAGAAGAGAGACAGAGACAGAAGACAGAAGACAGAAGAGAGACAGAGGCAGAAGATAGAAGAAAGACAGAGACAGATGACAGAAGAGAGACAGAGACAGATGACAGAAGAGAGACAGAGACAGAAGACAGAAGACAGAAGAGAGACAGATGACAGAAGAGAGACAGAGACAGATGACAGAAGACAGAAGAGAGACAGAAGACAGAAGAGAGACAGAGGCAGAAGATAGAGGATAGAAGAGAGACAGAGACAGAAGACAGAAGATAGAAGAGAGACAGAGGCAGAAAACAGAAGAGAGACAGAGACAGAAGACAGATGACAGAAGAGAGACAGAGACAGAAGACGGAAGATAGAAGAGAAGCTCACGTGATTATCTGCCGACGAAAACCTCCGACTTCAGCTTTGTACCAAACTTTACCAACAACAGCAAACCAGATTTTTGCCAGTTCGACGATAATATCACTTCCGATTTAGATGCGGGCTGAGCAGCTGATAATTGCATGCGAACTCTAATATAAACTAATTATTGTACGGAGGACTGATATAAAAACAGTATTTTCTTTTGTTCAATTTATTCGAGTGTTATTTTTTTTTCTGTGCGTCTTCGCCCTGCTTGAACGAGACCAACACGAAGATACCCGAGCTGATTCGGCCTTGGCCCTCTTATGATCAAACTTAAATCACAACGTGGGATTAGGCAGGTCTGAGATGGAAACAATCTTCATCGATCAGCCGTAGTGTTGGAAGTCTTGGACGACCGGGGTGGGTGTTGTACCATTAAACAACTTCTTGGAAAAAGTACTTGGGGATGACTGTACTATGGTTTCGTATTGTGCTTAAAAATGTAATTTATTCTCTGTTTTTAGCTTAAGATAAAAAGACGGTGTCAGGATATAATCAAGTTGTATAAAATACCAAAAATACGGTACTTCTACCGAGTAATGTTGGACAAAACAATTGAGCAACCAGGAAGCTTTAAGGAACGAAAGTTAAACTTCTTTTTCTATGAACAGTGTCCCTTCAGAAGGTTAGGTATATGGCTCTCCATTACTTCCTATCATTTGTGACGGTTATTATTTGGTCATCCCTCATATACCCATAAGCAATCCATTCAAACAAGATGATCAGGTAAGTGGCTAGCTATATAATACGTTTTCGTAAATTAAAATGTATTTTTATTTATATTCTTTATCAGTCTGTCAGCTGCAGATATCTTTACGCAAAACCGCTTGGAGTTAATTTACATAAACAAGTACCAGGTCTGTTTATGACCGTTCAAATCGATATTCCTCAGTTAATTGTAAAAAAAAATGAATGAAAACTCGATATTTTTAGGCAAGAATTTATGAAGAATAAACTTTTAAAACAGAGTTGTTGTGTTCAAAGTCACCTTTGACCTTTGAATTATGCCAAAATATACAGTTTCGATATCGGTGACTGGGTGGAGTGGATATTTTTGAATCATGTCTGATTTGTTTGCAGATTTGACCTTTCTATCTGTAGCGTATTTTGGAAGGGATTTACCTTTTTTTCAAACGAATCTTGGAAAATCAGTTGATTTTTTTTATTCATTTCACTACCAACAAGGCAAGAAAATCATGAAGATGCAAGGAGTTACTACGAGGATCGGTGGAAATGTTCTAAGCCCCACCCTGAAAGGTGAGCCAGAACTGAACATTTTTGTTTTAACAAAACATTACAAGGTCTTATAAAACTAGAAAAACTAATTCAGATTTCTCTCTTAATTTCTCTGCAAGTGAGTCCCATCGAAAGTTGAGAGGTGTGAGACAAATCTAAAAATAGACAAATCTAAAAATAGACAAAACAGAGGCCCGGGCAGTCATAAAATATTTTTAAGAGTAAAGTATAACACCAAAGGAAATCCACGAGGACATGTTTCAGGCACTTTGTGAGGACTCCCCTTGCTATGCAACTGTGAAGGAGTGTGCTTCGGAATTCAATCCGGTAGGGACAGCACAAAAGATGACCTTCGATCAGGTCGTTCAAAAACCTCAACCACTGATGAACAAGTTGATGCCATTCCCTGCATGATTTTGGATGACAGACGTATTACTGCTCGGTAGATAGGTAAGTCCATAGGCATTAGTTCTGGTTCAGTCCATACTGTTTTAATTGAGATCTTGGGGATGGACAAACTGCCTGGGTCCCAAGAATACTAACAGCAGAACAGAAGCTGAAACTGGTTAACATTTCCAGGACACTTCTGACTCGCTTCCATGCTAACCCTGAGAATTTCCACCGCAGATCGTAAACCTGGTGTAGAGTTTGGTAATAGCAACAGACAATACTCGACTGTAATTAAAGCTTTCTGACAAACTTGATTGTTCATCTTAACCCCCCCCCCACATCGCGCAAGGGTAATGGCCTTTTAGGGGAGTTCTTTGTGGCCTGACTGTTTGTATGGGAGTAGTCTGTACAATGCTCGGGCGATGTTTTGTGGTTGGGCGACGCTGGGTAATGTCTCGTTTTCGTTGGCATATGGGACATCCGTATTCGGCTCCTGGGCGTCCCTGATACTTGGTTCAGGGGGCTCAGTTAAAGCACTATGGATGGGAATAGAAATTTCAGTTGTTTGAAACTTCCTTAGAAGCCCGATCCATCCATACTGATTCGATATTTACGGTTAGGTAGTGTCATGACAACTCTACCTGTTGTGTCCAACCGGTGATTGGTTTGACGTTGTATTGGTACTATGTCCCCTTTCTGAAGAGGAAGCAGGGTACAGGCCGTACGGCTGTACCTTTCTATTAGGCGGGCACTACGATTTTGAGCTGCAGCTATACATTTCGCATGCGAGTTGTATAGCGGGGTTGGGATGGTATAAAATCCCGTAGCCGACGCTGTAGTAGAAGTTGTGCTGGGTATAGCCCAATGGTCTGGATGGGCGTGTTCCTGTACTGAAGGATATCTCGTGCTGCTCTGTTATTATCCAGGGATCCTTGATTTCCAGTGTTAGTATATACTATTCTTTTAGCAGATTTGACAGCTAGCTCTGTTCGGCCATTGGATTGTGGATAGGCAACGGATGATAGTCTGTCTTTCACCGCCCAGACGTTCAGGAATTGTTGGAATGGTAGTGAATTGAAAGGTGGACCACCATCAGTGCTAAGTTACTCTGGAGCGCCATAGGTCCGGAATATATCTCGACAAATTGAGATTATTCGCGAGTCATCTGCATGTCCATGGCTTAAATAAAAAAAGTGTGAACCATCCAGTTAATCTATCAGCGCAGACACGGTACTGCTGTACGGGTTCGTTTTCGCCTTGTGACATGAATGCAAAGGTTATGTGATGTAACATAGGATTTAATTGCTGTGTGACTAATGCCTCTGTTATAATTTTTGGGGGTCAGTAGAAAACAAAAACATTGGGTGGGTGTTTGTTATAGAATTTTGAACTGATTCATCGGCGCAATTGTATAGTTTTGATGTTAGTCTGCGATGTTGGTATATCCGTTATTTTTATACTGAATTGTTGGGGGGTCACTTCCAGATGGAGCCGAGGAAGCTTGACCGCTCTTGATTAAGCTGGGATCGTTTGGTTGGTGAGTTTCTTAGCTTGCTTAAAGATAAATAGTGCTTCTCCTATCGCCTTGACTCCCAACTCTCTCAGCATAGCTATATCCATCATTTGTAAGTTCTCCTTTGTCAGTTTTTCACTTGCAAATGTTGCAGTATAGTTCTTGGCCGAGTCGGCAGAGATTCCCGCTTCAATGAGGTAATTTTCCCAATCTTCAGGTTCCATCACTGTTCGCAGCGCCATGTAGAGTTCGGTAATAGCAACAGACTGTACTCGACTGTAATAGAAATTGAGTCTGACACTTTTGATTGTTGACCTGAATTCACCTATTCGAACTTGAATCAAAGATCCAAAGCAAACAGTGGAAACACACTGGTTTTGAACCGCGAAGAGTTTCAAGCAGGCAACGTCTCCATCATTTTGAATTCTGGAGGCCATAATATTCTATCTGGAAAAGAGAAAAAACAAACTATTAATGCACCATAATTAAGATAACTGAAGGAAGCAATTAAATTCAAACCAAGAGGGAAGCTGATGGCTGGTGCGCTCTTGCACACGGATAATGCACCTGTTCACAATACTCAGATTGCAGTAGCTGAAGCATTCAATCATGGCTTTGAATTGTTACCTCATCCCCCTTACTCACCATACTTAGCTCCATCTGACATCTTCCTATTTCTGAAACTCAAATCCTATCTGCGTGGTCGCCATTTTGAATACCATGGCAGGATCAAATATGCCGTGGAGAAGGGAGGTCGACAGGGGGACGCCATCTTCTTCCTTGAAGGGATTGCAATGCTTAAGTATCGTTACAACAATTGAATTGATATCAAGGGGAATTATTCACACTTATATCACTTTTCCACTTTCAATTGAATCAAATTTTGTGACATTTTTACCACTACCTAAATCAGGGATTGAAATCACAACTGCCACGGAATCAGATATGTTTATAACCAAAGCTTTGGCTCATTGGGCTCTGTAATTCTTAAAGGTTTATCTACAAGTTTCAGTTCAAAATTCCGGGAAATCTATCGAGTAGGATTCTGGTACACTTCCTATTCAGCCTCATCATAGCAGATAACACTAGTTGCCTCAGTACACACCTAACATTGTTTTTATTTAAATATGAAGCCGTAACTCGTCGTCCCAGATAAAAGTAGTCCCACAGTAAATGAAGTCTCGAAGAAAAACAGGATGAATTCAGTGGAGTTATGCTTTCATGAAGCATTTCCGAAGTTTCACGTTTCCAGACATCTATTAAAACATTTCTCGGATTATTTTGCATCATTCACCCTCTCCTCCTCTAAGAGATCGGATGAAGACACTAAGACGCAAGACGGAAAACTTTGAGGATAGAGTGGACAATAAAAGACCAGGATTCAAGGAGACAGAAGATAAGGATTGATGTTGCGTTTAACATTTGGTAAATCGTAGTTGAGCAGAAAGCAAAATGATAGAAAAGGGTTCTGCATTCGTGAAGTTCTAGAAATGCAACTATTAGAACATCTCTAATGGCTAATATCTAGCAATTTTAACAGTTGAATGATCAGACCGTATTGCTAGTCTGGTAATTCGCTCAAATTAGCGGAGCCGAAGTAACAAAGAAGACAAATCATCAGAACAATTCATCATCATCATGGCTTGGTTTCGCAAAGCGAAGATCAAGAATGTGTCTGTACACGTCAATTGCAGGTACGTTTGTGACTGATAAGTCTACGTCCTGGGTAAAACGATAAACTACACCCAACAGCAAGGTTAGGAGATATTGAGGACCGTGGAAACATTTCTTGATGGCTGGAGTTCCCAGGTCCACGCTGCCGTGAGGTGGTGGCACTTAATAGGGTCCCAGCTATGGGCAAATATTTAACTCCCAAACTAGGGTCAAAGCACTATAAAAGTGCAAAAATAGGTTTTAATACCATCAATACATTTAAAAAATTATGTATATATATATATATATATATATATATATATATATATATACAGGGTGTCCATAAAAAAATTACACTTATAGCTGCATACTGATGAGATGAGTGATTTTTGTTGATTACTGACTTTATTTATTTTAAAATACGCTATTTGAATGATGACTAACATTTGGCAAATTCAGTCTTACTTTTCCTGTGATTCACACTATTGTAAACTATCTGGTTTTCATCGTTATTTACAGATTATTTCAAAAAGGTAAAATTTAATTACTTATTCACACAATCCCACTGTTTATATTGCCTCAACTTCTTTAGATGAAACCAGTCCTTAGCGCTCATTCATTTCACACGATCTCCTGCTATTCATATAGCAAAGAATCATTGTTCGTTAGTGTTTGATTTTGTAACTTTACACACAAATAAGTTTCAATTAGCTATATTCAACTTCATTAGGGGGAGGCCACACATCAAATCTTTCAACATAAACAATTTTCATTTTCGAAATCTGCTTTGGTTAATCTATCTCATAAATCATTTATAATTTCAGGGTATCTCATGGTCTGCGGTCATGAAACAGTTCAGTGAAAATTCTATAGCACAAAATTTCGAAACCATTTTTCACACGTTTGATCATTTACATAATCTTCTTCACAAAATAGTTTTTGTCTTTGTTTCGCACTTTTAATTATGGGTCTTAAAAAAATAGTAATGTATATCGAATATTTTGATTATTTTTCTCCATCTACAATTCTCAGTTCGTTAAGGAAATATACTCAGTTTTACTTAGAGGAAAAATACCCGTCGATATGACAGCCGTCACAATACAGAATGATCGTTTTAAATGAAAACTAAACAGAGATATTTAAGAACTGTAGAAGGTTTAATGTTTTATTAATATTTTTTAAAAGTTAGACCATTAAATTTTAATAACGATGAAAAGAAAATTTATCTTAGCCGATGCATTTCGCCCTTTGCAGGATTTTAGATGCAAGGATTTTACATTTTTACTTCTGTGCAAAAAAATAAAAAAAAATAAAAAAATAAAATAAAATAAAATAAAATTTCAAGAACATCATTTATTCACTTTCGTTTATTAGACATTAAATTGTGTCAATTGGCGTCTTCTATAGTTTATCTTACATTTCGGTTAACGTGATGAATATTTATGGGTGTTCTTAAATTAAAATTTTTTAAAAGGCAATAATATTTTGCTCTTGTATACAAATACTTTTTACAAAGTAAAATCCTTGCATTTGCCCTGATAAAGTCTCTGATATGACGGAACTCATCGGCTGAGTTACGTTTTCCTTTTGTTTTTATTCATATTGTACTTTTACATATATACTCTACCTGAAATTTTACAGGATTTAATATGTATATTTTGTATTGAAGAGAATAAGAATATTAAATGATATTTTTATTTTTTAAATATTAATAAAAAAATAACTCGTGCTTAATGTATTTTTGCAAATGTTGGCTTCTGTTGACAAACATTAAAGGATTCGTATATGTGTTTATTAATTGGACATTTGGATGACATTTTTGCTAAAATAAATCCTACGGTTTGTTTGAATGAGTTGATTGCTGATAGATTCTGGAAAGAGGTAAGCACGAAGATAGATAGATAGATAGATAGATAGATAGATAGATAGATAGATAGAATCAGTGACAGATATATATATATATATATAGAGAGAGAGAGAGGGAGGAGAAAGAACACCTGTAACGCGTTTAAGCTTTTGTGGCCTATTGAAAACAAGGGAGATAACTTAGTATTAAAAGATAACCTGGGAAAAATAAAGAAAGCAAATAACAAGAAATGAAATCAAGATGAAATATAAGATTAAAAGTTTTCTAAGAATTCGATATATTTTCATTTATTGATAAACCAGCTGCACTTTCGTAATCCTAATATCCCAGAATTCTTTAGCATTAAGAATTATCCGGATTTCGGTTAAAAAAATCTATTAATTCCACTTTCTGCTGGTTTTACATAATCCATAAACATCTAAAATTAAAATCCCCCCACACACATGGTTTATATAATGTGGTGGTCCTTTTCGGGCACATCGGTATCTAATTTTCTCTTACTGCTAATTAATAGCAATTTAGAATCAGTTCGAATGAATACAAAAGTCTTTCACATTGTGATTGTAATTGTTAAAAAAGAAATCAGTCTATATCGAAATTATCTTTAAGCGATGAGACCTATTCATTGCAGCTGAAGAAGTCAGATAGTCAGATAAACGACTAATGTCGATCAAAATTCCGAAGACAATGTTCATCAGCAAGTATTATTATTGAAGCTAACACATGGAAAAGTTGAAAAAAGAAATAAATTGAGACCATCGGAAGAGCAAAACAATACATTAATAAAGAGATAAAAAGGAAGTTCAAGAAGAAATATGATAAAAAGGCCGAAGGCTGGATATAACATGAGAGACTGTGGGTTTAAAATGCAGAAATAATATAGCAAGTCGTTTACTGACAGATATACAAGAATTTAACTGAAAGATGTTTAAGCTGAGAAGGTATAAGTTCATAACTAAATCGGAGTAAATGGGGGTCTGTAATTTATTTGCAGTTGAATTTTATCTATTCGCGATAAGCAGTTACACTTGGAATGAGAGACCATACTGTTGGGCCTCGAGTTCACTTCAGATCTCAAGTGGAATACATATATACAATCCATTGTTTTAGATGCTGGAAAATTTATACCTGATTCATTCTGTCATACTTTATACAACCTTGTGTAAATTATTTGAAGCAAAACTAATAATTACGTTATTATTTACTTTCTTTTCGAATTTTTCCAATAAAACATGACACAGTGCACATGTTAGTACTTCGTATGTCCATTCCACGATGTCTTTCCTTGCAGATTAGCCACGGATTCTCGATTGGACTTAAATCAGTAAAGTTCTCTAGCCAGTCAAATGAATTGCTCACTGATAAGCCTTGCCATTGTGATTGTGCAGTGTCACAATTTTCGTACGTTTCCTTAGAGTAACGTCCATTACAGACAATGGCCGTAGGACAACTAATCGACAGTCGAGACAATAGTCTCTGGGTGCGATGAAAATCTGATGCAATCACGGATGACGCAATATATCTCAAGGTCAAAAAATTTTCATCATACACCCGAAAATAGATATATATGACTAAACACCACTGCAAATGAACTAATCTGAGGAAAAAATAGAAATCGTTTACACCCTGTCACTCCACTGGATCTAAACCTGAGCGTATGGTGAAAGAAAATAAACTAAAGCGGTTGTTTCAATTAAGTGTACGTACAAGGTTAAATTAAACCAAAAGGGAATATTTCTGATTTAGTTGGGCTGCAGCTGTTAAATCCTAACCTAATCCAGCCTTAACAGTTTTCCAAAAATCGTTTACGCAGTCTTGCAGGGAGATATTTATTTCCCACTTTGAAGGCTCTTTCTTTTGAGACGTGACATTGCAAACCTGTCTCATCTCTATCGCACTTACAATGCGAAATGTTTAGAACTTTACAATTCGAACACACCATGCTACTTCCATAGGGTCGTATCATCCTCATTCCTTAACTGTTCAAAATATAATTTGACAGATGTTTTTCAAAGAAAAGCCATTTTGCGAAACAGTCTGCCGCGTGTCTCTTCCCTGAACTCTACAATCTTAATGAATTCAAGTGTCAATTTTTATATATACTAAAAATATCCTCATAATCTTCACTTTCTACCACTTCCTCTTTCATTCATCTTAATGTTGTGGATTCCGTGAATGGAATCCTGCACAAATAAATAAACAACGCCAGTAATTGAGTTAGAAAAATAAGTGTATTAAACGTAAGAATACAGACTTGAAGTGAAGATTAGTAGTCCAGGAATGCGGGTTAGTAGAAAGTATGTACAAGTCTGTACGTAAAGCCATAATCATCTCTCTGGACTCTTGTATAACTCTCTGAGAACACCCTGTGTCTGTCTCCGTATCTCTTAACCTGTCTCAACGTATCTCCACGTATCTCAACGTATCTCAAACAGCAGATATTCTCTCTGTCAGTATAAGTATACTTTGGACGAGTCCATATTATGTAAAAAGGGGAGAGCCCCACAATACTTAATGAATTCAAGTGTCAATTGTTATATATACTAAAAATATCCTCATAATCTTCACTTTCTACCATCTTCTCTTTCATTCATCTTAATGAATTCAAGTGTCATTTGTTATATATACTAAAAATATCTACCATCTCCTCTTTTATTCATAACACATATCTCTTTCATCATTGCTATTTTAATTATAATAGTCTAGCCTTCGTATTGGATGAATTAATATAAATAATATTAATATAAATAATACTCTTTAAATCACAATTGAAAGTGGATCGTTCTTTGGGTATCATTTCGTAAGCGGAAATTGTTTAAACCAAAGAAGAAAGGGGATGTCCGATCTCTGTATTATGTCTTTATTACTTAAAATGCCAGTGTGACGCTGAGTAAGAGATTGGAAGCAAGGATTGATTAACATCTACAAGCCAATAACTTAATATTTATGACGTTGTGACCGCTCCTATAACTGTCAGATAGTAATAGTTTACATGTTATTAGTCTAACTTACACAGTGACCTGACATAAATAATATATAACAAATATTTTAAATTATATCGTAAAATGCTATAAATTAAATATATATTCTGAATCATTAACTTCTAAGAAAAAATATTCTAAGTTGTTATGTAATATTAAACCGCCCATATGGAAGTGATTACTAGCTACAGAAATTCGATTATATAGAACGATTCTGATAATTTCATTGACGAAGAGTGTTAGCAGGGAAGATGTCTTAAGCAAAAAAGGAACGAAAATTACTTACATTATTTACACTATTCGTATTATTATCCCCATCTTCATTGGCATATTCACAACGTTTCAATCGTTGTACGCTCCCAACGTTGTAAATATGACAATGAAGATGAGGATAACAGTTCGAATAATGTAAATAATGTAAGTAATTATAATACCCCATTTCAGAGATATAGACAGAAACGAAAATGTCACTTATTCTCAAACTCAGAAAAAAGCAGCTGAAATTTCTTGGATATATATTAAGGAAAGAGAGATGGGAGAATTTGACACTCACAAGGGATATCGAACGCAAAAAGAACGTTTGAATACAATTTATTTGGATCTATTGTCATCCGTTTTAAATTAAACCTCGAAGTTAAGCATTTATAGTTAATTTTTTCGATTAAATTTTAGACTGAATGGGTTTGCAAATCGTTTTGTTTTTACAATTCTTGATTCTTTGAGGAAAAGTTAAATTTCTTCGTTAAAAACGCATGTTTGTTCTTTATAGCATATTAAAGTTCACGCTGTTATTGTCTTTTTATGTTTTCTATACAAGTTCAACTCAGACTACATGAAAATGTCGATATCGGAAGCGTCTAAGACAAAAAAAAAACTGTCTTTACAAAGTGTCATTCAATATTCGAGCCTCGTTTGGTTTGAAGCTATTCATAAAAGAAATTGTTTGTGTGTTTCGTCACTGAATAGCATTTTCGATTCAATTTGTAATAATGATAGCACGAATTTAATTCTGAAAGGTCATCTAGGTTCAGGGCATATTTGAAAGATATTTTGATAACTTACGAACAACTGTTTTATAAACATGCACTATAAAGAGTCAAGCATAATGTCGGAGCTTGAGAGTTGGGTTTTGAAATAATAAATAAAACTGCCCTTTGGAATAAACTCTTAAGTTTTTGAGACCTGAGTTCACGAACCGTTTTAACCCTTCTACCTGAGATCCTGAGTCAAAATTCGCAAATAATTGGTATGTAATGTTTCATGATAGATATAAAAATAGTTATAAGTGTTTACCCACCGTTCAACCGGTACCTGATTATTAAGTCATATTTCTTGACCACTTTTCAACCAGTGGCTGCGCCTTACATATGTTTTCTCTACCCCCCGGTCAAGCGGTGGTCAGGGCTCAAAGGGTTAAAAAAAAAAGAAAAAATTAGACGAGTGTTAACTTGAGTTATCGCCCTTGAAACTAAAACTATTAAAATAGCTAGAGAGCGTTCCATTGTTTGAATACGTATTGGATTAATTAAGAATCTATATACTTAATGATGTATTATGTTGTCTATAGTATGTCTGAAATATGTAAATGGGACGTTTTGGTGACAGGAATAATATTCGGGCGAATGGGTCTGTGATTTGCAATAAGCTTGTTTCAATTCAGTAATTACCCGATTCCTCATGCTATCCTCTATCTTTACAAGAGCCAGATCAGACTGAAAATGGAGTAATCATGTCAAATTTAGCTGAGTGATGCCCAGTCGTCACTTTCCAGTCCCGATATTCAAAAGCATCTCTGAGTCCTTGTGTGTGATGAATTATGTTCCTCCTTTCACCTCCTTCGCAAGCGGGATACGGCGAGAATCTCAATGCTCTATTCCAACTTCCATGGAAAGTGATCGGGCGAACTACATTCCACCAGAATTAACCTTCACGGCTCGAACCCGCCATGCCACTTACATCGTAGCAAACCACCCATATTGCCTCCATATTTCATCGCTGTGAAGTCCCACTCAAACAGCTTCTTCCAGCGAATCAAGATTTGTGGAACCGACGACTATTTTCCCCAGTAACTACAATCATAACCTGTTCAAGTCTAAAGTTAAGAGTTATCTTCCCCTGCCTGTATATATTGACACTTAACGTAACCCTCTACCTTGAGTGACCTCCAGGCCATGTACACGATGAACCTTACTGAAAAAAAATACAAGTTCAAGTTTTAACTTGTATTTTTTTTCATTGTACTTTTTAGTATCAATGGGCGAGTGGCTTTCCTCAAAGAGATATAGGCCATTAAAATAAATAAAACTGCCCAAATCTGTAAAAAAAAAAAGAATGATTAGACGATTGTTGAGTTAAAACTCTTGAAACTAGAATTATTAATATAGCTAGAGAGCGTACCCTTGGTTGAATATAATCTCATCACCATTCACGATGTGAGATAGTCATTTCTTTATCGTTTTAATTTCCCGACCAACAAAATTAATTAAATATATAGTAAATGATATATCATGTTGTCTATAGTATGCCTGGAAAGTGTAAATGGAACGTTTTGATGACAGGAGTCATATTCGGAGTAATGGGCCTGTGATTGTGATAAGATTTGTTCAGTACAGTAAGTACCGGACTCCTCATGCTATCCTCTATCTTTAAAAGAGCTAGATCATGCCAAAAATGGAGTACTCATGTCATATTTGGCCTGGAGATGCCAGTCTTCATTTTTCAGTCTCGGTAGAACTTAAAACCGTCTCTGAGTCCTGAGGCATAACGTTTAAGCTATCAGCATGCTACCGTATTTTGAGAATCTTGAAGCTGGTATCAAAACAGGTAGACCGAGAAGAAAATTATTTTCGAAGTTTCGGGGTTGACGGATTTGCTTAAAAAGTTTTCTCATATAAGTTACTGGTAAATAGTTCGTTTTACATCATTTCGGGTATCGGAAAAAATTTGACTTATGAACGTCATTCGTAAAAACCCAAATCATGAACACGAGTTCTGCAACGTTTTTTGAAGTAATCATGCGTGTCTGGAGCATGGCAGCTTGGTTGAGCCCATCACGACTTAAGCTGGTTGTAATTTCTGAAATATCCTTCTCCTAGATTGGTTAAAGCTTAAATAACTCAAACTATTTTTACGATGTTCTGAATTAAGAGTTATTCTTCTCTATTGTGTGCCAACCAAGACAAGGATTTTCATTTTGGCCTGTTACTTTAGCGATATCTGAAGGAGGGTCGATTAATAACTTTCAAAAACTAATTAACAATGTCGTAGAAAGAGACCGGGCCAGAATTTGAAACCGGAACGGCGATTCGACTTCCTATGCGGATAATCGTTACACCATCCGCATGTGCACAAGCGAAGTGTTGCAAATTGGTAATGCTAATATTCATTATACCAAAAAAAAAAAACATGTCGGTATTCATTGACCGTGCTCAGTGTTAATGGCGATTGAAACTTATAAAACTTTCAATTAAAACAATTCTATGGGAAAATAGTTCTCTCACGTCCAGTAGCTATTATCGCTCTATCCAGTACTGACGGCAAGTTCTTCCTAATATTTTTCTTGATTTAGTGTGGAACGTCGACATCTAGATTATGCCTTTGTTTTCCTCTCGAGTTACATGTTCTATCCATTTTAGATGATGTTAAAATTCCTCAATTGAAGTGGTTTCTGTTATTTTGGAGGGAAATCTGAGCTGATTCTTGTTGATGAGTGGTTTAATGGTCAAAAATACTGTCAAATATTGGACAAAGGAATATTTCCACTATTTGAAACCAATAACATTGACAAGATTGTCTACCTTTTTTCAAGAAAATGGAGCGCCATGTCAGACGAGCAAAGAAGCAAAGGGCTGGAAGGAATCGCAAGGAACCAAGTCACTGCCATGAGTATCTCAAAGCCCTGACATGGATCCAATAGAGCACATTTGGAAGCACTTTCACCGAAAACTTCGAGAGCGTGCAACCAAAATCACGTCAGTGGCAACCCTTAAAGAAACATTGCTAAAGGAGTGGTGAAATATGTATCAGACGATTATTGATAACTTGACGAAATCCATGAAAAATCGAATACAAGCACTGAAACTAGCAAATGGAGGACCTACTCTATACTAGTTCCAAATACTGTTTATTTATGTTGAGTAGGGATCACGTAATTAAATTTTGAAATTGGATGTAGCTTATTTCTCCTGGCTAAAAGATTTTCTTAGGCCACTGTAATGACAAGAACTCATTTCAGAATGAAGGAAACCAGGGAACATCTTTCGAATCAATACGAAATTAATGTTGCAATTTCTTGTGGAATGACGATAATAAATTTACGGGAAACTTCAGATAATCCTCCTGATGGTCCATATGATTTCTATAGAAGCATAAAATCGCTGACCTTGTAAAGAGGTGGCTTTAGGATATTGAGAATTAATTGAAAGTTTGGTGTTGCATTGTGCAGAAGTCATATCAGAAGATGAACCTAGAAAAATCGATACTTCTTTTGTAAACATGATCTTTTGACGGCAGAAGCCAAAATCTTCTATGATAATTGAACAAGAAATTTCTTTACCTCATTTTTAAAAAAAAATTGGTTTGTGTTCGGGTTCTAGTTGAACAATGTTTGGGGTTAGATTAATTAGATATGTTAAAAGATGGAGGAGAAAAGAAAAAAAATGAAAGTGGCAGTATAAATTGGATTGAGAAGGAATACAATTAGGAGAAGAGCAAGGTTAGAGAGAAGAAAATAAATAAAATGAGGAAGACGACAAGGACGGAAAAGAAAAAGGCGGGCGATCATTAATGGGGGGGGGGGCGCAAATTGAGAAAAAGGACTAGGAAAAAGACGTGAAGGAAAAAAATGATAGAAGAAAAAGAAAAAGAAGAAGAAGAAGTTGAATCAAACGAAGATGAAGAAGGAGGAGGAGGATAGGAGGAGAGGGAGAAATAGAAGGAGTAAATACTTAGGACGATATAGAAATAGCAGAAGGAAGAAGACGAAGTAAAAGGTTGGTTGGTTGGTTGGGTTTTATGGCATATCAACCACTGTAGGTCATTTAATGCCAAATCTACTTATATACATATATACATAGGTACATACATACATACACAAACATATATATATATATATTAAATATATAGTACTATTAAACGTATAGCTGTCAACATTATTTTTTCAAAAACGTATTGCTGGCATCATTATTTCTTCAAAGACGTATAGCTGGCTACATTACTTTTTCAAAAACGTATAGCTGGCAACATTACTTTTTCCGAAAACATTATCTGAGCCCTTGCTGTTGGACATAGTTTATCGCCATACCCAGGACGCGGATGTAGTTTATCGCCATACCCAGGACGCGGATGTAGTTTATCGCCATACCCAGGACGCAGATGTAGTTTATCGCCATACCCAGGACGCGGATGTAGTTTATTGTCATACCCAGGACGTGGGTAAGATCTGGAAAAAGCTAGGAGTTCACTATTTGCCCATTGCTGGGACCCCCTAACAGGTGCTACCACACCTAGTCAGGGTGGACCTGGTAACACCAGCAATTAAGAGGTGGTTCCACGCTCCTCAAAACCTCCTGATCAGAGGCCTTGCTGCTGGGTGCAGTTTAACGTCATACCCAGGACCCGAAGTAAAAGGATAATGTAGAGGAAATAGTTAAGGTGATGTACAGAGAGAAGAAGAAGAAGTATAGTGGGAAGGGGAAATGATGAGAAGAAGAAAAACGGAAAGAAGAAAAAAATGGGAAGTAAAAAAAAACAGAAAAGAAAACAAGATGGAAAAAACAATGATAAAAAATAATATAAAGAAAGAATGGAAAGAAGAAGAAGAAGAAGAAGAAGAAGAAGAAGAAGAAGAAGAAGAAGAAGAAGAAGAAGTTGTAGTAGTAGTACAGTTGGAAGAGGCAATGGTGGGAAGAAGAAGAAAAATGGAAATAAAATAATGAAATGAAAACAAGATGAAAATGTCAATGATGATGAAGAATAAGAAGGAAGATAAAGAAGAAGAAAGCCGGGGAAATAGATAGAAATGGTTGAAATAAAAAGACAGAAAACAGTAATAAAGAAATCAGAGGAAGCAATGGAGCATAGAGAAAGAAGAAATATTTGGCACCAATAGTTTTTTTCTTCCAATACAAGCATTCGTCTTCCTGATATTTACGACAGCTAGAAAACGGAGAAAAGGCGTCCGTGGCGGACTCAGATAAGTTATAAATCTATACGGTAATTAAAGCTATGGATCCGCAGCAGCTTAAGTTCCAGAGGAAAATCCCTTTTAACACTATGTATTTTATTGTACTTTATTGATAAGAAATTGTTTTACCGCTTTTAACATGGACCATTTTCATTTTTTAAAAAATTCTTTTTGATGTTTGCTTTTCATATCTCTTTGGTTCTCTTTCAGTCTTGTGCCGGCCTAGCTAAAACAGGAATTATATGAGAGTTCAAATGGAAATAATTACGCGAGATCCCGAGAGCATTTTGAAAAGTTGGCTTAAACTATTCGACGAACATTAAACTTTTATATGTCCCATAAAACACTTTTCTTTAAAATTCTCACTAAATAATATCCCTTAATTCCTATAAACTGGCAGTTGCCTAGCGTGAATCAGCGAGCATCAATGAAATCATCATAAAAAAATCCCGGCTTGAATTCAATAACAAATTAGTGTTCTAATGAGTATAGCTCTTAGGAAAATCCGATATGTAACTGAAGGAAAGGGTGGCTTTGTACTATACGCTGGAAAAGGAAATGCGATTTTCATGCTCAGAATTGTAAAATTCTGAAATTAACAGTTTCCATTTAAACTTCTTAATCCTATTGACTGTTATATTTATTAACAATTTCCATACAGGAATAAGCCTGCTTTTATTAGCCGAACATTTAGTATGAGAAAAATTTCATTAAAACATTCTTAAATAATCTTCTTAAAAAGATTTCTTACAAAATCTTACAGAAAATTAAACTTCTTAACCCTATTGACTGTTATATTTATACCCTTTATAGTATTGATAAGAAATTCCTTAGATTGTTCTAATTCCACGTGCCATGCTATTTTTATATCTCAGTTGCCAAGGTTTTGTTCCCTCTGATGTAGCCAGGTATTGAACTCAGAAGTCATCACGAGTTATATATATATATCAATCTACGGGCAATTCTGTACTGAACCCTTGGATTAAATAAAGAATCGAGATGCCAGGTCAGTACATATCATGTTGCATATCCGTCTTTAGATTTTGTCGAGAACCTCGAGATGAACAGCGCAGAGACCACATGATATATATCAACAGTATTCAATACAAGGGCGAACGGTAGATTTTTCGGTATAACGATATAATTTCTGCTACAATACTTTACTTCATGTGGGACGAAATTGTTCAACATTCACTGGCATAGAGGAGAATCGAAATTACACATGAATCCAATACTCGTTTGTTTAGTAATGATATTTGGTGTTCCATAAAAACAACACATTTCAGAAAAAAAATTAGCTTTTGCATTTATTATACACCATTCAATTTTTGTGTCACGTTTTCTGCCGTCTATACAACGAGACAATTCTGAGAGAATTGGAAATTATACCGGGATTCAATATTGACGACCACAATCTTAACATAAGATATATAGATAAAACAGTACTGATAGCAGACACGGAAAGGAAATTACAAAACCTCCTACAGAAAGTAGCGAAGCAGAGAGAAATGAAGTGACTAAGCATAAAATACATTCATGGTCATCAGTAAAAGGATGAAGCCCGAAATGCGATTTGCAGGTTTGGCGACACTAAAATCAAGTAGGTGTGGAAGTTTAAATATCTGGGAAGTGTCTTGACAGAGGACGGTAAGTGCGACACTGAGATCCGTAGACATATTGGGATGGCCAAGGAGGCATACAAAAAGCTGAGTAGAGTATTGTGAAGCAGTTGAATTTCTTTGGTAACAAAGAAAATAGTACTGAACTGTTACACGACATCTGTCAACATTTACGGCAGCGAATGTCGGACAGTCTCCACAAAAATGAAAAAGAGACTTGAGGCGACGGAGATGTGGTTCTACAAAAGGATCCTGAGGATATCTTGGACCGAGCGTGTGAGCAATGTTGAGGTCTTGGAGATGGTGCAAACAAGGAGGAGTCTTATACTTAACATCAGGAAGAGGTAACTGAAGTTTCTGGGACACTTAATGAGTAAAGAGGACCTAGAGAATCTGATACTCACAGGTCGAATAGAAGGAAAAGAGACAAGGGAAAGCAACGCATGACATAACTGGCGGGCTTAAGCAAATGGATGACAGAACGTGGTCTGTGGGTGGTGGCAGAGGGATGAAACTTATTGAGAGCTACAAGGGATAAGGAGGAAGTGGAGAGCCATGATAGCTTACGTTCTGAAAGGACACGGCACATAAAAGAAAAGTTAGTGCACAGATAAATAAAATTCCGTTGTAGTTTAATTTTGACGTCCCCGTTGTGTAAGTCGCATCTTGTGTTGTCCCTTTTGTTAACAACCGCGACTAATTGTTCCCTCAATTTTTCTTTTGAATCTGATGTTTTCTTTCACTTGATGGTTGCGTGAGAGATTTTGTAGGCATCTCAGTGAATCATTTACAATACCATCATTAATCGAATAATTGATGCAGAAGAATATGCAAGTTACGGGCAGCAATAGATTTATATCCGTCCTGAACTCAACGGTCGGACAGTACACAGCCTTCCACAGTGCCAATTCGCGACAAAAAAGAAAAAGTGGGAAACTTTCCAATTCACTGGCCAGCCATAAAAACACCATTACCACACAAGTTTTGTAATAATTTCACCAAAAGCAGAAAGGCCACTAGTACACACGGGGTTACAGTGAGTGAAAGTGAAAGAGAAAAAGGAGAATAGGGAGGATTGAGGACAGGACAAACGATGAACAGGATTCAAGAAGACAAAAGATCGCCATTAATTTAGCCTTTAAATTTTTGAAGATTGTATAAATGGAAGGTAGTTCAACAGGTGAGAAGTGTGAGAAAAGAAACTGATCCATTAAGCTATCTGAACAGTAAAAGTTTGGGACCTAGATGCCAATCTAGTAGCACACTCAAATACATATAGCTGGGACACCAGAGAAAAGCTTGTCAGAGCAGCTGCCATGAAAATATTTGTAGAAAAGACAGGGGGAAGCCACGTCACATCGAGTATAGATCATATTACGGATCCTTTTTTGGGGGTGGGGGTATTAAGAATCATGAGACGTACGGCAAATGCTTCTTAATATATATAAAAGGATTTAATATTTTTTACTTTTCTATTATCACCTTATTTTTGGTACTGGTGAGTTGTGTTAGCATGAGCGAAATATGTGATGAGCTGAAAGTTACAGAATTGAAGAATATATTCTGGAAATAACTTTGAAATTGATAAAACACGGACAGAAGATTCTGTTAACGTGTTCTCAAGTCAGAGGAATATGCGATAGTTTAACAGTGTCAGGTCTGAGGAATTTTTTTGGCAGGATATGCAATAGTTTGAACGAATATGTTGATAGAGCATGTGCCAGTTTTGAAAAATGTCAGGTCTGAGTTAAATTCTGAAGATATACGATGCTTTCAAAATGATAGGTCTGAGGAATATGCAATATATTTCAAGGTGTCAGGTCTGAGAAATATGCTGACTGAACAAGTGGTAAACTGAAGCAGATTCTAACAGAAAATGCAACTTTGAGGCAGATTCTAATAGAAAAGGCAAAGTCTGAAGGTGTGAATTCTGGAGAATACGATATTGGATTATACGACAAGCGAATATGATTGGATGTGTCGCTTGAGACTTGAAAACGGTCGTTGACATGCAACAGAATTATTGGTCGATTACCAAAAGTTATTATTATGTTGCATATCTAACTGATACCTAACTGCTAGAAACTGCGATAGCAGGAAATTTGGTTTTCAAAATAGTTTATGTCTTAAATTGCTCTATATTTTCTCTGTTAGAAAATTTCATTCAGCACTTTTTCATTAATGTAACCGTTTTTCAACAAATATTACTTTTTGTCAAAAGTTTCAATTACACATACACGCATACTTACATATATATATATATATATATATATATATATATATATATATATATATATATATATATATATAGGATTGGTGTATACGGAATAAATTCCAATAACCAACAAATACTATTCTTAAAAGAGTGCTCAATACGTAGTAGAGCAGATATAATTATTTATTTTAAAATTATAACATAAATATGTTATAAAATCACTACAAAATTTGTTATAAATTTGTTATAAATTTAACTTATTATAGGGGTCGTATACTTTCAATGGTAATGATATGTCGCTGTAAGTTTAATTACTCTTATAACCTGATGGTCATCCTGACGATATGAACGTGTATTGTGTACCTAAACAGTGTTATTCGTGTCTGTATATGTGTTTATGTATATGTGTGTATGTATGTATGTTTGTACTGCTGGATGTGTATGTGTGTATATATATATATATATATATATATATATATATATATATATAGTATATTTTATATATATATATATATATATATATATATATATAAAAACATATAACATATATATATATATATATATATATATATATATATATATATATATATATATATATATATATGACCATGGAATATTAGTGTTTAAGCCTTTTTTATTATATATATATATATATATATATATATATATATACGATAAACGTGCAATCAATTTACAAATTCATGAATTATTCACACAAAAACAAATGCAAAGGTTAATGATTTAATTGGCGAGAAATCCATCGTCGCAAACAATTCAAATAATATACAAAGACCTCCGAATCCGTTATGAATGAAATGATCCTTGTTTCTATAAATTTCTGCCGTATTAGTTCTTATTTTTTACTACAAGCTTTCGTCTGTTCCTACAGACATCTTCAGGTATAGAATAGATGTTGTTCTTGTTTTTTCTCTTAGTAATAAGAGGACAACGAAAATATATGTATTGTTTTATCCGAAAATGCTATTGGAAATGAGTTATTGTTTTTGGAGCGCGCAGTAGCAACGCTGAGTTTGATTTTAAATTTTTAAAAGTTGTGCGTTCATATACAAATATGGTGATGAACGAATTTTTTACTGGTAAATTTTCTGTCAAA